TCAGCGAACTTGCTGATCCACAGATCTCTTCTCCCCTGATCCTTGTGTGAGTTCCTGTATAACTCCGCTTGCATGAGATAACTAGAAAAAAGAATCATAGAATGGCATAGGCTGGAAGGGACCTCAGAGATCATCTAATCCAACCTCCCTGTCATGGGCAGGGATGCCTCTCAACTAGACCAGGCTACTCAAGGCTCCGTCCAGCCTGGCCTTGAACACCTCCAGGGAGGGGGCATCCACAACCTCTCTGGGCAATTTATTCCAAAGTCTCACCACCCTCGTACTGAAGAATTTCTTCCTAAGATCTAATCTAAATCTGTTCTCCTTCAACTTAAACCCATTTCCCCTTGTCCTGTCAGTGGACACTCTTGTAAAAAGTCCCTCCCCAGCCTTCCTGTAGGGTCCCTTCAGGTATTGGAAGGCAGCTATTAGGTCCCCCCGAAGTCGTCTCTTTTCAAGGCTGAAGAATCCCAGCTCCCGCAACCTGTCCTCGTAGCAGAGGTGCTCCAGCCCCTGGATCATCTTTGTGGCCCTCCTCTGAACACAAGGTTGACCTCTGAAAAAGGTTGACCTCCTCTGAAAAGAAGGTTGACCCAACCTCCATCTCTTTCCAAAATCAAGATGTAGCAGTATGCTCTGCATGGAAACACCCCCAGACATGTTGCCTGACACCTGAGTAGCTAGCCTGTCCCCTCAGTGGCCAAATAGGTGAAGCCCATGCTGGCTTCATGTGGAAGAGTGCTTCATGCAGCTGTCTGCTAATGAACCTGAGTCTGTGGGTGGGCAAATAATCGTAGTCTAAGCCTGGCATAATCTATCCGAGCTGTAGAGTTTATGTATCATGCTAGAATTACAGAGCATTGAGAAAGACCCTAAATGATCATCTTCTGGGCTTGTGAAGAGGCGGTGAACCAGCCAGGGTTTGGCTTCATTGTACAAAACGCAGTACGCTTGCAGAGTGAGAGAGTTCTGTCCATAAAAATTTACACTGTAAATAGAAAACACAAAGAGCAAGAAGAGAAGGGAATTATTCTCCTTTTAGCAACACGAGAATTAAATGAGCTGTCCAAGTCATGCTGGACACTTCTGGCAGAGCTAAGATTTGGTGCCAGACTGATGCTTGGCTGATGTATTTTTTCCAAATGCTCACTGTTACCTTTAATTGCTCGCATCTATTGTGCCAAAATTTTTCTCAGGTGATATGAGAAACATCTGCTAGTCATCCAAGAAGCAGTATAAACAGACCAGTAGTAACCCCTAATAAGTAACAGTGAGCGTTGACTCGCTTTTTAAATTATGAGAGTAGAATACCTTTCGACTCTTCCATTTACATTTGAATTTAAAAATCGGAAGCTTTCTCATCAAAAGGAGAAACTTTAGTTGCCCAATTGCAAATAGAGTCTTGAAATGCTGCTTTATGCTTGCTGCTGCTCAGCAGATGTTTTTTTTTTTCCTGGCAGGACAGGGAACAAGAACTGGAGCAACTGACAAAGGAGCTGCGACAGGTCAATCTGCAACAGTTCATCCAGCAAACAGGAACGAAGGTCACGGTGCTGCCAGCAGACCCTGTGGAGGTGGAGGCCCCGCATGTGGAGCTCGAGAGAGGTGCAGTGCTCAGAATGCTTTTGGCGGGCGGGAGAAGGGGATGGCACCGCGTTAACGCTAGTACTCATACGCCAAGTGAATGCTCTGTGAGTGAAGGAGTTAGCAAAATATTAAGAAAGCACAGTGTCAAATACTTCTTTTCATTCCAAGGGTTTAGCAAGCTATAAATAACGTGCAGTATGTAGGTAACTTCTCTCTCACTGTGCCTGGGCATGTGTTTGTCCCATCAGTAATGCATTAGGCCAGTAGCTTTCCAGTGTGGCCACCATGGCTGCAGGAATGTAGGCTGGCACGCAACATGATTGCGTGTCTGACATTGCTGTTCAACTGAGTTCTTCCTCTTTGAGGGGGGGATGATGTGTTGTCAAAGCAGAAGAAGGAATGTCTGGACCTCGAGAAATCCCAGACAGCAGCCGCATGGGAATAGGAGCTAATCCAGCTGGGCTGCCAGCCATCCAGAAGCCCTGCACAGATGGCTGTTACGGCATGTGCAAATTGACTTTGCCCCTGGTGAGATCAGTGCGTTCTGCACATGCCACATCTGAATTCAGAATTTCCTAGACAGAAACACGGGAGCACTTTGAGTGTGTGTCACAACGGTGGCACAAGCAGAAAGCCTTTGCTGTGGCTCAGCCTCTGCTGTGGTGTGCTTTACCCAGTACCCTGCCTGCAAGGGGCCCGTTTCTCTCAGTGTTCTCCTTAGCTGCTTCTGTCTCTCCTTTCAGAAAACTCTGAGCAAAAGGCATTGGGAGGGTAGGGAGGTGGGGAGAGAAGAAAAGACAACCATACAACCTTCATACAAGGTCAGCACTTGTATGAAGCTTCTCTTTTAAGTGGGCAGGAAGCTGAAGCTTTGAGCTACATGTAGGTACAAGCTCCTTCTGCACATTACTGTATGTATTGCTTGTGTCCGTGCGCATGTTCCTTGTGGGAGGGTAATGAGTGGGTATCTCCTTCTGTTTTGGAATGGGCAGAAGGTGTGCACCTCACATCTCATCACTTCCTAGTCAGGCATTTGAATTTTTTGTTGTTTGTGGTATTAGTTTTTCTATGCTGCACACTGAGGGCACCAGTAAGCAGGAAGAAGAGAGGTGTTCTGCAGACATCACCCTTGACCATGACTTGTCTAACTGCCCTTTTTCTTGTGCAGAGCCAACATTTCAGTCTGGGTCACTGAAGCGCCCTGGCTCATCGAGGCAGCTCCCCAGTAACCTTCGGATTCTACAGAATCCCCTGTCATCTGGTTTTAACCCGGAAGGCATTTATGTATGACAGTACATACCTCTTCTGGAGAGGACCTAGCAAGGTACCCTGGACAAGATACACTTTTGTTTTATTCCACCAGTGATGAACGGAAGAAGGTTTTATCTTTTTTTGTTAAGCCACCATATTTTTTTTTCCCCTTCTTCCTCCAACACACCACTTGGAGCCATACCCTGTGCACTGATGCTAAAGAGGCAGAGGAACTGTCTCGATTCGTAATTGGCAAGGATGAACTTGCTGTCAACACAGCTAGAGTGCAAAAACCTTCATTTGTTTTTGCAACTTCAGAAGCGTTTGGGAAAGTATTGTTCCATGTATAGGCATAAATAAGACTGAGGGTGAAGGAAACCAGGTATACAACTTATCTGAGGTTTAATTTATTCCCTTTAATCAATGGACGTGTGAATGTTGACCTTTTATATTTTTATTTTTAACTTGTGAATAATTACATATGACTGTATGTCAGTCTGACAAGGTGGCTTTGATTTGCGTGTGCAACCATCCACCGTTTGATCAAGTACAACAACTTGCAACGCAGAGCTCTGTGGAGCGCTGAACCATTAAAATGGTTTCTCACCACCAACTTTGTTAATTTCTGTTGTGGGTCATAATATGTCATGTTCCATCCATTGCTACCTTTTAAGGCTTGAAAAGTGAGCTTGTGGGATTTACTTGCTGTTGAATCTGCCTTGAATGAAGCACCTAGTGTTCAAAAGATTTATGGAATTTAAACCTTGGCTTGGTAAAAATATTTCCAGCATATGATTGAGGATGCACTAGTTAGATGATATTTTATTATATAGAATGTATATTTGAAATATTTTGCCACATTGTATATGCCTTTTGAGAAAAGAACAATGTAAGAAGTTGTCTTCATATATCTTACTGAAAGAGAGTAGGAGACTTTCACTGTGTGTGATTTTATACTTTATTTTTTTCCACTAGCCATTACAGTGTTCTTGTTTTGCGGTATATCTTGCTGTTGGAGGAGAAAAAAACACACAAAAACAAACGAGCATTCTCTTCTGGCCTTTCAGAATTCACTCAAGTTTTGTGGAGGGAAGAAACCTGGCGGAGAGTCCCGTGAAGTCAATGGCAGAGCTTCTGCTGACTAGAGTGGGCCAGGATTTCATTTCAGGTCCCCAGTGTTGAATGGTAGACCTGTAGCCACTTTGAAAGACATATGGCTGGTCAGTCACTTACAGAATATAAAGCTTGCAAACAGGAAATTCACACACTTGGTAGTCATTTTTTTGCAAAAAATGTGAAAAGAGAACATTATCGCTTCTTGATGTCACTCCAATGCAATGAAAGCTGAGCAAGGATTAGACGGAACGGCTTCCATGCAGAAAGTAAGACACTAGCAAGTAGGATGTTGGTTACAGGCCTTGAAATTAGATGTTAAAGTGGACACCAAGTTTGTAGAGAAGGTGGCTGGCATCAGTGGGACACTTTGTGTATGTTAGGAGGCTGGCCTCGCGGAGGAGTTAGAGAAGGGATGGACCTTACCTGGGTACATTTGGATTTCCTGTTCTAACAGCAGCTCATACCATCGCCCCGCCTTTGAGTCCTCTTGACGTGAGAGGGGGTCACCGTGCTTTCACCGCAGCATTGAACGCCTGGGCTTCAGTCGGTGGCAAAAGGACAGAACTCCTCATGTCTTGGGTAGGGTCAGGATTTTACCACTGGTCGGAAGCGCCAAGCTTTTTGCTATAGAAAATACTAAAGAATTCTAACTCTTAGCATCCTCTTGTGTTGATTTACTAATGTGCAGATAAATGTTAATTTAAGTTTCCTTTTTTAAAAAAGGAGCTTCCTGACAAATGGAAGTTTTATAAGATATAGTAGAAGATGAAGGACTCTTAATGCATTTTTTTCCCTTTCCGCTTATTAATGGCATCATATATTCTAAAAATGCTGCTGTATTTAGACTAACAGCAACAGATAAGGCTGTGAATATACAAAAGACCTTTCCAAATGAATTCTGAATTTTTACTGTTTAACTTATCAGGTCTGGTTTTCTTCTCCACCCTCCCCCCCCTTGTGAGCAAACTGGAAAATGAGATGTTCCTACCTGAGGAATCTTTGCAGTGCTCACACATTTTACTGTTAGTTTATCACAATTATGTGCTCATGTTTACTGTGCCCATAACTTTGTATTAAAAAAAAAAAGAATGTGTACATATATATATATTAAAAAAGTGTAAAATATATATAGTTTGGGGACAATATCTTCCAAGGTACTTGAGCATATATGCCTTACATTCTGGGTTCAATTTGCAGAAATGAAGTGGCCCTCTCCAGTGGATACCTTGCGTCTTCAGCACCTCTCGATGTCAGAGAACTGAGGCACTCAGCACCTTGCAAAGTCTGGCCCAAATTATGCTGCACGGGGGTGGGGGGAAACACAAGGAAAAGCCTGTGGCAATTTCAGTCTTGGACTGAGATGAAGTATTTTTACGGCAGACCAGTATACTTACCCAGCTAATGTTTTTGTCATACTTTGTGACTGGTCCATCTCCAACAGATGTCAGTTTAAGTGACAGTGAATTGGGCTCTTGCATCATAAAAACTGCTCTCTTTCTCTGCCAGGTTATTCTCTAAGATGGAGGGAGGAAGCAAAGGATTAAAAGGAAGGCGAAGAGCAGCTTTGGAGGGCTTGAGTTATGGCTTTGTAATAGAACCAAGGGAGGAATTTGCCATTTAAGTTGAAAAATAGCATCTGCTGATTGTAGCAGCTGTTTGACAGAAGGGCCAGCCTGGAGCTGGCTCAGGAGCGGCCACTGCGTCATCACTGAGTGGACCCTCCTTGTTGGGGCTTCAACATATGTCAAGGTGATCTGAAAAACATTCACAGCTTCAGCCACTGCTGTGGCCAAGGAGAGGCTTTGGTATCCAAACCTGTCATTTGTGAGACACTGACAAATTCCCCTGCCCCCTCCATACTCCTCTCACTCACTGAATTTCACCTCGGCTAAAGTTCTGTAGCATTTTCACCCTCTCTGTAAATAAAGCAAAAAGAAACGGCATGCCCTTGCATTAATGTGAATTGAACGATGTATTAACAGTTATAAAAATTCCTCACATTATGGCGTTAAGAGTTTTGCTTCTGATCAACTGCAGAACCTCACTCTTTCTTTACAAATGTAGAAAAATTCATTTTCAGAAGTGTTTCAAACCTACTTACGGGGCATTAGCAGAAAGGAAGCTACACATACTAATTTTAACAAGTGCCATATTATTTACTGGCCAGCATGACAAAAATGGGGTTTTTTGCTTGCGTTAAATAGTCGAGTACACAAGCACTATTTTCCAGTGCACAGGGAATTTATATGGAGAACTCCCGTAATTTATTACTAATGGAAATTAACTGTGTTACCTCTCTTATCCATGAGGATACAGTTTATTTTTGCTGGTGATGCTCTGTTGTTAGGGGAAAAGGAGGGGTTGACCGTTTGAAAAGCCAGTAGGTTAAGGCTAAGGTAAACATTCTGAATGCCCGAGCAACGGAGAAACCCAAGTCCCACTCTGAAAAGTCAGCTAGGAACCTGCCTCCTGTTAGCTTTCAGTGGGACTTAGGTTCCCAAGTGCCTGAATTGCTTCTGGAAATGGTATGTTAGCTTTGAGGTTACTTGCTTTTCTAAACTCTAACAAGTTGGAAGGAAGTTCTTAAAGAAGAGAACTACCACTAGCGTTAGCAATATGCAAACCTGCTTTCATTGTGAGGTAAGAGGGAAAAGATCCTTTAGTGAAATAAAATCTCCTCTTGGGGCAATAATTGCCTTGTTTTTAGCGTGAAGAGTATCACGTTATTTTAGTGAACTGAGATCATGTGAGTATGAGGGAAAAAAATTGATCTTGTAATTTTTAGTGAGTTATCTTGAAGCATATAAATTCCTGATGTGCATTAACTTGAGTGAATTGGGCCTTAATGATCCATGTAAATAACAAAACTGTATTCAGATATTTTTTCCAGAAAATAGTCTCTAATGGTCTGTACTGTATTAAAATAAGTGTCAAAGTGTTACTTTTATACTACACCTTTTTTTTTTTTAAGAACATTGAAACATGCATGTTTATTCTATTTGCTACAGTATTTTAATGTTTTGGATGAAGGCCATCGGTTGTATGGAGATGACAAAACAATCATTCTGTCTATTTATTCAGTATTGCTGCTTAAAGTTTTCAAAATAAAGCTTTCAATGCCAATATAGTGACTGATTGAAAGCTGTTCTAGCTCTCTTCAGATGTTTTTTTCTATGTTTATAGAAAACTAAATAAGTGAAACTTGGTATATAAACTGTTATACCAGCAAAGAATCATTGCAATAATATTGCAGGGAGGGCTTGGGGGTAAGTGTGTGTAGTGTGTGTGAGTATATATATATATAAAAAAAAATGTATGCATGCAGTGAATGCATTTAGGTCTCAAGTAAATGGAGTGCTGAAGAATGTTTGAATCCTTTGTGGTCTTGCAAGCAGCTTAAACGCGTGGTCAGATCCTGGCTAGTCTTCATACCAGCGTGCCGTGCGTGTGAGGGGCAGAAGAAGCAGAGGTGGTCGCAACGGATCAACTCGGAGCCCTTTGAAGCAACTGGGATTTAAGCACGTTCTTGAGCATTCCATAGATGTGTTTCTGAATTGGGCCTAAAAGCATGTTCTGATACAAAAATCTTTCAGTTGCAGCAAGGATGCCTCGTTTCAAGCACAGCCGGTACCTCTGAAAATCTGAGTAGTTCTGGTATGGATCAAGTATGCCTGCTCTACTTGTAAAGGGTAGCAAAATGCAGAGAACATTCACCCTCATGACCATCCTGTGAAACTACTTACTCTAGGGGTTCTGACTGGAAGATTTGAGTTGCTGACGCTTTAACCTAGAGGAGCAACGCAAACTAACTGTGAAAACACGAGTGAGCGTTTTATTACTGCTCTGCTTCAATGCAAGATGAAAATCTGTATTATATGTAACTATATTTTTTGTCATTTAAAAAGCTTCTATTTTTTATTATTCTCATGAATGGTTGACAAAAGATAATGGATATGCTCCCATACAATAAATTCCCCTCTGAAACTTTGGGTCTTTACAGTTCATGGTTTGCTGGAATTGCACTGTTCATCTCGCGTGCCCCTCGCGATGCAGCTACTGGAACTCCGTCAAAGAACACTTAGAAAGCAGGCCAAGGTAATGCTTGGTGTGTCTAGAGCTCAGATGCTTTCAGAAATGACCATGTGCTGAGCATTAGGACACAAGGAACACTCCTAAAAGGCAATTTAATTGGAGGTGTGGGACACGCAGCTGATTGGTGTGAGGCCCCTATGGCAGACAAGAGAGGTCCTCTACCCTAAAGTGTGCACGTGCTGTATTCTTCATCAGACAGAGCACAGGAACTACAAGAGAACTGAGTAAGCTTATTTTCAACTGAGGAATTGTTACAAAGATTATTAATCCCGAAAAGATAAAATTGGTCAGAGACTCAGAGGAACTGTACCTTAAAGCAGAGAGGCAGGGGTTTGTTTGGAGATGATCAGGGAGAGGAATTGAATGTACAGAATTTTTACACAACAAATAGAAGGTACACACATGCTTCAGGGAAGAGGAAGAAATTAAGCTTTGAACAAGGAACTGAAGACCCGATTCAGGCCTAGTTCTTGTGCTGAAGACCGGAGGGCCTGTGAAGATAGCTTGAGATCATTTGAGTTAATCCAGGCAGGGAACTTGCTACAGCTGGGGACTTGTGATTTAAGCCACCCAAATGCAATGCTTCATTTAATGTCCCAACAAATGGCTTTTCCTAAGCCAACTGGAACCTAATCTCATTAGATGTGAAGAGACATGAGCCAACAGTAGTGGCACTGTTGACTAGCAATAAGACAAAGAATGTCATGAGCTTCACTGAAACCCTGGCATGT